TAGCAGTAGTATAGAATCTAGAATGAGAATTAAAATCTATATAACATATTACGTTTCATATTTAGTATTGATATAAACTATATTCAAGCTTAAAATTAGTTTTTATTTATTTGCTATCTGTGAATATATTATTATTAGTTTGGGTAATAAATGTTATCAGTCCGTCATTGTCTGTGCAAATAAATACAGACGAAAGAGTTCGTGGAAATTTTGCGAATGGTAATAAAGTCGACCAGGTTTATAAAGTACTTTAAATAAATAAAATAAAAATCATTCATTTCGGACATCTAAGAGATCCATAAAATTAATTAATATCTATACCATACATCATTAATACCATACCATCGCAGTCCTATAAAATTTAGTCAAATATCATAATTACATTAAAATCAGTCACACTTAAACTTAAAGAGAAGATGTCAACATTAATTAAAAATTTCAACCAGACAGAAATAAATAATTATTATTAAATTAAATTTTTAAATAACTCTTCTCACAAATGACCTCCAGAGTGGGGATGAGAATCTATCCGCCACAGTCTCCAGGATTTTGTTCCGGCTGCCACGCAATCTGCAGATCAGGGATGCTGTCTTTTTGCGAATAACTTTATTAAATTTTGAGAATTATGAACTCCCGTGTCACTCGAAACTAGTCGAAGTACTATTACGTACTCACTCTTATTGTTACTAATGAAATTGGGTACCATGTCAAACTATTTACGTGAACATAGTAAATAAGGAAAATAATATTTATCTCTCTACACTTAAAGTAGCAATTGGAATACATAACGATCGTTCAATTCAAACATATTGATAAACTCGATGCATTTAATAAATATTTTAACGTAAACCAACAGAAAGACAGCTAGCTATAAATAATTCATTGCGACGAGCCGCTTGATTCCAGTTCAATCCAGATTTTTAATTTTTATATTCAATTTTGTGTGGTGCGAATTTTAACGAAGATAGTCTTTTTTTGTTACATTTTTTTCATTCTTTTTTTTAAACTAATTGTCTTTAACTTTTTTCTAGGTTCACCCCTATCGGACAAAGAGTAATTAAGATTTTTTCGAAAATCAACTGCTTTTATTTAATCTATAAAGTAGTGTTAAATTGTGAATAATTACACCTGGTTTTTGTTCATTAATTAACAGTCTGAAAATAGGCTAACTCTTTTTTGTTATCTCAAAATGACTTGCTTTTTAGATTAAAGGTCTTTGAGCTATATTTGCGTTTAACCAAGTTGAGTTAGAGAGAAACATCGTACTGGCTCGGAGGTCTAAGACGCCCGCTCTTCATGTATGGGGGTTCGAAACCTACCATCAAGTACCAATGTGCCTTTATCCGAATTATAAGTACTTAATAAGATTATTTAGACATCACTGACAAACGACGAAGGAAAATATATTGAGGAACCCTGGGCTTAAAACAAACCTTCTTCGTGTTAGAAGAGGCCTTTGGTAAGCGATGGACACTTATATGTGATGTTTGAGATTAGGTTTTGGACTGTAGTTTGAAGTTTACACTTCTTATAAGGCATTTAGGCTTTATTTTAATATTGATACACACACATATACACATATGTATATACACTAGCTTCTGCCGGCGACATCGTACGCACAGTCCTATTTTCTTCCGTTCCCGTAGGATTTTCAGGACTTTTTTTCATAAGAACCTTCTGACAATAATAAGTTAATAATAAGCCGTTTTTAAGTTATGGCGTGACAACGGGAAACGGGTTTCATTTTTATAATATATACATATATTATTATTATTATTGCAATAATTTATTGTAAGGTAATTTATCATACTTATACATTTATTTATTTTTATGAAAAAAAAATAAAGATATTCGTTATTTCATGTGCTGTTCTCTTACACCTAAATTAATGATTTGATTTCGATATTTTCTTATCATTGGCAAGGACTTTAGAAGTTATAGGTTATGGTAAGTTGTAGGAATAAATCTATCCCATTTACAATCTTATTGACTTATATATAAAGTTGAAAATCAATATATTTTGATAATGTAAAGGAAAATAACAGCCGCGCTAATTCCCTACAAAGATGTCGATCACGAATGAAAGAATCGAAACGGAACGCAGTGTAACAAAAAAAAAAGAAAAAAAAAACAAAAACTTGAGTAATTAAACATCGGAGTAGACATCCCGTAAGTCTCTCTAATGAGGAGCAAACTTCCTTTGTTTTTTAAAAAAAGAATATAATACTTACAGCACTGTTCTTTGGGATTTTTTATCTATGACGTATTTTTTTTAAACATGATATAAGTCCAAGTATGGACTTGACCTGTGTCTGTTTCTTATTCTGCCTTGTATTTACTCTTCTGGATTATAAATATCTTTGAATGTTGTTTTAATGTTGAGTAAGTGAAAGGGGTGTGTAAGAATCGAAGGGATTGGCGTTCCATAGTCTCTGCCTACCCCTATTAGAGACAGGCGTGAGATTGTGTATGTATATATGTCATGTTGTTTTAAGATCCTCTTAATCACACTATGATACTATAATGTGAAAGTTTCTTTCTTTTCATGTTGGTCCGTCAATCACGTCGTAACTACTTAACGGATTTTGATGGAATTTGGTATGCAAGTAGGATATGGGCTGACTTAGGTGATAATATTTATATTCCGATACTTTTTATTCCGATTAAATGCGATAAAACAGGAATCATATTCTTCAAAAGAATTCGTGGGCAACAGCTGGATTTTAATAAGGTTAAGTTATTGCGATGTATGTTATTAATGTTATTTATAATCTAATGAGTACAATCAGGGTTCTAAAAATCTGGAAAAAATATGATTTATATCTGCTAATACTTTTAGCTACTAGCAACTCTTATGTGGATGCAAAGGATGCACAGTTATCGTAAAATTCTGACAACTTTCTTTCGATTTTCTACATGTTTTTTTTTTAAGGGTGGAAAATCATCGAATGACTGCTCCCGCCTGGGTGAGGCGGGAGGGAGTGTCAGACTCTTACTGACTAAAAACCACCCGTTCCTTCTCCTGCACGTCGAACCGGAGCCCCGGTTACCCGTTAGGTTCTCCGCAGAATCAATATTAGGCTTGGTTTGAAATTATAATAATGACAAAGCATCCTTAGAAAAATAAAATATTAAACATTATATGCCCAAGCATTAAGTCCATCAGTACATGTAGTTTTTTATACTGAGTTCAAATAAATAAATAAATTATTAGACTAATCACATCTAAAACACTAAAACTGCAAACTACCATCAATCCCTCAAACAAACTAAACATAAACAAACAAAAATAACATAAAAACATGTTTCAACAACAAAAACAAGTTAAAACAATAACAGCACTTTGTTTTCACCTACGTTACTCGCATGGATAGAGTTTGGCCATCAATCAATTAAAAGGAATAAAAGTTAAACTTTAATATTAGTAATTGGTATCAATATTTATAAAGGTTTTCTTATTTTTATGAACACAATACACAGCACAAAACAATGATTTTTGCACAGGAGAAAATCCTGGAGAGGGGCAAAGTTTTATTTATTTATCATTTATGTACCCACATACAACACAAAGGACAATACATATATAAAAACTTAGATCCCACATATTCTAACTGGAATTTCTTCCTGTGGGCAGGAAAAAAAAAGACGTCGAGACACAGCGTGTTACACAAATAGAATAAAAAAAATTAAAAACAAATTAAAAGAAGTAACAATATTGATAAATAAAATAAATCAATACATATTGTCTTATATATAATAAACAATATGTACATATTATAAATAAACAAGTTTATATTTCAAGAATTTTTTTTTAATAAAACGAAAGCGTTTTAAAAACAGTAAGTCTTAGTAATGACAATCTATATTTTGTTGTTTCTGTTCTTGGTCATTGTTACAATAAAGTCGATATCTAAATCTATGCATTAAAAAGTGTTGGTTTATTGTTCGTCATTTATTGTGTGGGAGAGGCATGCTTCGGCACGAATGGGCCGGCTCGACCGGAGTGATACCACGGCCTCACAGAAAACCAACGTGAAGCAACGCTTGCGTTGTGTTTCGTCGTGTGAGTGAGGTTACCGGAGGCCCAATTACCCTCCCCTTCCCCAATCTCCCCAATCCCTGAATCCCCAACGATCCTAAAACTCCTAATCCCCAAAAGGCCGGTATCGCACTTTTAACGCCTTTGGTGTTCCAGGTGTGCATGGGCGACGCCGATTGCTTGCCATCAGGTGAGCCGTCTGCTCGTTTACCGGCTTATGCCATAAAAAAAAAACATGTGGTCAAAATAAGGCTTTCCCAAGATATGTTTTGATCAGCTCAAGATCTTTGTAAGATGTTCGTGGCTTATTATAAAAATACGGCGGTTCATTCACTAAAGACCTTTTACTTGTTCTCGTTATTTTTTGTAAGAAATAAGAATGTTTATAAATAAACTAAAAATATCTCTTTAGGGAAATAATAAGTGTGATACTAGGTTTACAGATCAAAGACTGAGTGTTTTATTTGATCTGTTTAATTTTACGCTTCTAGCTAATTATGTTGTCAAAACACAAAACATAATAAAAATTTACATCATATTGTTTAACTAAAATTATTAGGGGAAAAATATTTTTATTACTTTTTTGTGTTTTCCTGTCATGTTAAAATAAAATGTAATAATAGATGATCTCTGGGTGTCTTTTCTAGATTATCTCAATCATATTTATTGTTAGCGTTATAAATAAAAATGGTTAGGCTTTTTCGCATATTAACATGAATGTTTCAAATTGGAGGTCAATTTTAGGGACAAGCAAAGTAAAACCTATTTAGGTATATCGGGTATTTCAATTTGAAAATTCTTATATAAGGGAATGAATTCCAATCTCATTACATGGGTTTAGCCAGTGGGTGTATAATGTGTGTACTGTACAATTCTGTCTACGCCCTCAATATTATATGATGCTGACGTCACACACAAGGCCGTTTCACACAAGTCATCAATAATATTATCATTGTTGCAGGCAGGAGACGCCGTCACTCGTAATCAAGATAATCATCAGGCGACATTAGATTACAATGCACCAGCGCTAATGACTGACCATTACACAGTCACGCGACATCTCCAGCCATGAACACCATGTAATCATTGCGCCATGGACCACAACACCAAGAAAATGTTTACGAAAACACATCGACTGTGGGACAGGAGGAGGCACAAAGTCGGACGATGACACCGCCGGCCACAACAATAAAATAAAACAACATTTTTCGTTAACAACAAGCTCTTAGTGTAAAATCGCTTTTTTGTGTGTACGCGACTTACCGTAATCTTCATTTGCTAGTTCGTTTCGTTTCTCAATCAGTGTTCTCTCAATAGTTTCAAGCAATATTAGGTAAGGCCTTCGAGTTAGTGTAAATATTGTGTTCGTGATCGCTTCAACTCAACGTTCGGGTAAAACGGGTATTTAGTAATTGTATAAAGAGAAAATAATAGTCAAACACTTCCGTTCCTATAGGCAATACATTTTTTTAAAAGTAAATCGATTATACAGTTCTTTCAACGGGGCCAAACTTTCAATCTGTCTTACAATAATATTAGTTAGATGAATTTTACAAATCCTGAGTCGAGAGCCACGATGGTGCCGAACACGACGTTGTTGACGAGGACTACAATGTCTAGTGGTTACAATGGGACATTCGGTCCGAATAGTACATTCTTGATACCGACGTATATGAGCCAGGAGGAGTTTTTCGCGTTGCAAATGACCAATGGGTCTGACGCGAACACGACGTTGTCGAATGACACTACGGTAAATTTAGTTCTAAAGACGTGGTACCCGAGTGGGTACTCGCCGGCGCATATAATAATAGCTTCAGTGGTTGTGACGGTGTTAATGATAATGGTGGTAGTGGGCAATATGCTGGTGATCATTGCGATAGTGACGGAGAAAGCGTTGAAGAATATTCAGAACTGGTTCATAGCCTCATTGGCCGTGTCGGACTTCTTCCTCGGCCTGGTGATAATGCCGTTTTCATTAGCGAACGAGCTGATGGGCTATTGGATTTTTGGGTTCTGGTGGTGTGAGATACATTCGGCGATGGATGTGTTGTTGTGTACGGCGTCCATCATGAACCTGTGCCTGATCTCACTCGACCGGTACTGGAGTATAACGCAGGTGAGTTATTAGATATAGTTTTGTAATATTTTATTCTACTATAAGTCAAAGTTGAATAATTCGTTATGTTCAAATAAAATATTCTACTTCCCACAATCTAATTTAAAGGTGCAGAACCAAATATTGATACACAAAGTTCTTAAGTTTAAAAAACTTGAACTTCTAATTATAAATGCATGAAGTTAATTACAGCGTTCCTTATTTCTCTTAACTGATTCTTTTTGCCTGCAACAACTCAATACAAAATATCTATGTGCAGAAAATATTATATATCTTTATAGTCCCTATTTTAGGAATCAGTCTATCATATCCCTTCAAATTCACACCTAAATCCAATCCCACGGAAAAACTCAAATCAAAAATCTTTTACACAGATTGTTTACAAAAACAGTCGAGTTGGAAACTGTTGGCAATATTTAGTTCGGCAACCGGCAGTGGCAATTTTCAGTGGCAATGTTTTTGACTTCCAACCTCCAGTGACCTCATATAACCTCGAGCTAGGGTTCCTAGATCAAAATAACAAAATTCTGGAGAACTTTTTTGTGAAATAAATAAAAAGAAACGTTGCCCCACCCTGGGATGTTCTCCTATGTCGTGGATGTGTTTACAAATATACAAAATCACATACACATGATATTGCGACCCAAATAAGTAATCTGTGAGACCCACAAGGAGTCGTTTGTTCTGCGGCAGCCGTTGGCCAAGCCCAAGCGCTAACTGGGCAGACAAAAACAAACTTTATATACGAAATTAATGTCTGGAAAATTTACAAGTTGTTTATTATTATTGTAAGTATCATCGCTTACCACAAGGCGAGATAGCGGTCAAACGTGGGCCTATCAAATATAAAAAAAAATATTTTGATGCGCGTGTGGATATGAGTTGAGAAGAGGAAAGCGAAATGCCCATCACCCGAGGACTAGTATTCGCTTAATTTTTTTTTAACATTTTGTTTCTTCGGTAAAGGCCACAATTTGTAGAAAATTCGTATGGCAACCCTACCTTTAGCTGAACTGAAGACTGGCAATATCGAAGCGGTATCGGCGACCTCTACTGAATTATTTCGAGCTGAGCCAAACATTGTTAAAGTTTGCACGGTGAGTGGTCACTGCATATACAAGTTACATTTTGGGGATTGGATTTTAAGTAATCAAAATTTGAAACTGCGTTTGAGGAAGAAAGAAGTAGATTTAGTAGAAGATCTTCAAATTTCACATTTCAAAACGCCTGGTCGACGCATCTCGTGACCAGAGGGCTGGTCCATTTCTCGGTCAGAGGTTAAGTATTACTATGCAACGTGGTAATGCTGCCAGCCGTTTGGGTACTTTCCCTATTGAAGTCGACGCAGACGAATTTTTTGATGCTATCTGTAAGAGTTAGTTTTAGTTTTTCTTTTATTTAATTTTTATCTTTTAGTTATAGTGTCTCTTAAGTTGTAAATATTTTTTTTTCGTTTCCTTATGTTGTAAACATCTGAATTTTAATATAATTTAGCAAAGTAGGTATGTAGTTTATGAAAGTTCTTTATTCTTTAAAAACTTTCCAGTTAAAAGCGTGTTTAAGTCACTTTCAATTGCAATGCTGCAAATAATTTATACAATTGGTGTACCACTGTTGTACAAAAGTAATGTACCTACCTAGACATACGTTAACATGTTTTTGTATCTCGTTTTGTCATATTAATTGTATTTTATCACCGTGTACTAAAATAAGAAACAAATAAATTTAAATAATTCCAATAACAAAACAATTCGACATGTCAGTCTTCACTTCAGCCCTACATAGGTCAAACCATCAAATTTCCATACACACGAAAATCTGTTACCAAAATCGTAAATTCAGCGTCCATTTGCAAACCAAAATGGCGTTGCTTGCAGTTTGCATCTTGTTTAACAATGAATATTTCAAACAGCTTGCCCATAGGCGAATTTCAATAGTGACAAACCAACCAACCGGTTTGTACTGGCTAGTACCGGTTTGTACTGGTTACCGGCGGTTCGCACCGGTTCCAACCGGCTCAAACTAACTTACAGTGGGAGAACACCGGATTATATTCCAAAGGCGATGGTTTGTGCTCATTTGTGCGTGAATTCTGTTCTCAGTTAAGATTTGTCGTTTAGCTTTGTTAGTGTAACAATGGTTTGGTAAGTGATAAAGTTAGTACAACTTGGTTAAGTGAAATGGTGTGATTTGGTGTTGGTTTTAGTTTTAGTGGTTTCTCAACAGATTACCTATTATGCTGAAGCAATTTTGGTCAAATATGTCTGTTTCCTGTTAAATTAAAAACTGGCTCAGTATCACTGTGTTCAATAATTGCTCCCAAGGCTTTTTGCTCAGCAGTCACACTTGAGATCATTCAACCAACAAGGCCCATGACCTTTTCATAACTTTCTTTAAATCAAAAAATGAATTCAAAACAAAACAGTACATTGACCTTACCAATCAGACTTCGATAAACAAATTCATTCATAATAATATATTTTCAAAGAAAACAAAAGGTCGCACATTAACAATGGCGGTGTAAAACAAAATAAATTGAAGTCCATTGATGGGTATTACAATGCTGTGCCGTACCTCTTTCGAATGAATGGGGCAATGGCCATTGAACATGTATCCACGTGCACAATAATTGTTAGTAGGATTATGTATGGCTGTAGTTAATATATTATTGTATGGTCAAAGGTCAAAAGTCCACTGCCACCGTAAGACTATATCGGTTGCGCTGCAACGCTTATACACACATGCACAAGCATATTTTTATTCGTGTGCGTACGCGTGCCTGTGTTTATGCGTATGTATGCGTTTTTATACACATTAATATGAAATTACTTACGCATTGCCGTGTGAACATCACTCATGGTGGCAGTGGACTTTTGACGTTTAACTGTACTTACACTACATTTTTTTCGCCGGCTCATTCGTGCTGGAGCACGGCTCTCTAGTCTCTCACACTTAAAATGAAACATAATTTGATGCCTGCTTATCCTGCAATAGGTGCAAGTCTATTGCCTCACCCCGGGCATATTAAGATGGTCAAACAAGTAGCGGGTGTATTTATTTCCTGAAGAGTTGTTAGGAGATCGATGACGGTCTCGATGATAGAGTGGTCATCAGTGTGACTACCAAGCAAGGGATATTGGGTTTGTTTCCCATGCTGCCTAACTTATGATACCGAATCATAATGTATTTAACATTGATGATGATAGAAATGAGCTCACCTCCTTTTACATGGGACTCATAACATAAATAGTGAAAAGTGGGTTTCATTGTGCAGTGGCATTAAGTGTCTACTCCTTCGGGGATAAAGAGGCGTGATGTTATGTTATGTTATGATTTACGAAACTTACAGTTCCAGCATGGATTCTAGATTATTTTTATTTGTTGGACCGATATTTGGCCTCTGTCTTGCCTGGTGATTGATGAATAGTGGGCGTTATGTACCACTAAATCAGTTCTAATAACGGTCCTTAAAGCAAACTAAAAAACACAACAAATTAGTGTCATATATATATATGTATAATATGTTTATTTGTAATATACTTTAATATGTGTATTATTTGATGTGTATCTATCATATGTATGTATAGGTCTATGTATTTTATTGTGATCTATTTATTTAATACATTTCATGTCATGTTACGCACAGTGTCTCTGTTTTTACCGTTTTTCCTGTCGAAGGACTGCAGGAAGAGATTCCTATGGGAATATGTAGTACCTATGTACCTCCAATTTATTTATATATGTGTTCTCCTGTGTACTGTCTGTGTGTTGTGCATAAATAGATAAATAAATAAAAGCAAGCGGTACCTTACTTACTATATATCTGTTCTGAAATAAATATTAAAATAAAACGTAAATAAAAATATTTCAATCTGCAAATGAAATTCATTTTATCGATACAAACACTTTTCCCTTTCGAACGGCGAATGAATGAAAAAACAAAAAAAAAACATCGCACGTCCATATTTGATTTGAATGAATATAAAGAGTACCATTTTGTTTCTCTCTTTATTTCGTTCATAAAGTGTTTTATTTCAAATAGTGTAGTTGGGTATTTAGGTGTTTGTTGAAAAAAAAAGAAAAAAATAGTTTGTACTTTTTTATTTTTTGTTGCCTGGTCGTTAAATCTGTTAAATGGAGAGATTTATGTGTGGAGAGCCATGCTTCGGCACGAATAGGCCGATTCGACCGGAGTGATACCACGGTTTTACAGAAAACCGACGTGACAACGCTTGCGTTATGTTTCGTCGTATGAGCGAGGTTACCAGAGGCCCAAATACACTCCCTCCCTCTTCTCATCATCATCATCATCATCATCATCATCATCAACAGCCTATAAATGCCCACTGCTGAGCAAAGCCTCTTCTCACACGGAGGTCTCAAGGTTAGAGCGTTAATCACCACGCTTGCTCAATTCGGGTTGGCGATTTCAAACTTATAATTAGATAATAATTAACTTATAATTATAATTGATCCCTCTTCTCAATCTCCCCAATTCCTGAATCCACAACAATCCTTAATCCTACTTTCCAAAGGCCCGGTAACGCACTTGTAGCGCCTCTGATGTTCCAGGTGACCATGGAAGACGCCGATTGCTTACCGTCAGGTGATCCGTCTGCTCGTTAACCGGCTTATGCCATAAAAAAAGAATAGTGTTCCAATTGATTGTTTTTGACTATGTACTGAATCTTTTATCAGTTATTTTTTGATAAATTCTTTGTTATTTTGTTATTATTTAGAGGTATAATATTTACCTACGTAACTTGACCATCCTGATGTATTTCGAGTTATGTGTCTAGTGCAAGTAGCTCTATACGATTTAGTATTATTTTTTATGTTTTCTCATAGTAATGAAAAAATAAAGTACATAATTCCGTTACATAGTTCCATAACTCTACAGAAAACTGTAATATGTTCATAAATATTTTGTATTAACTATTAACCACTGGATTTTAATAAAAGTCACACAAAATCTACTCTTACCACTTACAAAATAAAAA